CACAGAACTGAAGAGAATGTCGAACTGTACTAGGCAGTTGACCAGTCTTTTATTTATAGATGAATATAGTACAAGGTACAAGAAATTACTGGGATGCCCCTGATTAGTGATGGGACACCCAGATGACTTAAAAAACTAAACAGGATTAGGCCCATTAACACAGGCCCAGTTACAAGATAAGTTAAACATAAGACTGGGCTAATAAGAACTCTTATCAGCCGAACAACACTCTGACATTCTAACATTAATCTTCCTATGATAAATTTGCCAATAAAAGGTACCAATCATTTGATTTTTCTCTCTCTTTTAAAATCGGATAACTTGCCATTAGAAATCCATTGTAATTTAATTGGATTAAGTGGTTAGAGATCATTCAATAATCCCTTCTGTTGGTCCTACAAAATTCTTATTCGAGGAATATTCAGTAATAATCTTGACCTGCTATGCATATGACTGGTTTCTTTTTTGACTAACAAATTCTTTAACCAAACTATGTTATGCATAAATATGAGGTGCAACTGAAATATGACTTTTTTATGCTAATCTTTTGGTGTAACATGGCCACTAATTTCTTGTTGCCTTTGTCCTAGATGGGTACAAACTCCATATAAATTGTGGTGGAAGAGAATTATCCATAGGAGATATCACATATGCAGCTGATCAAGAGACACCTGCTTCCTCAAAGTTTTTTCAAAATAGTAAATATAACTGGGCATTTAGCAGCACTGGTTACTTCTTAGATGATGACAAAACTGTAGATGATTATACATTTTCAACTACATCAATACCCTTGAACAACCCTGGAAACTCTGAATTGTACAAGTCGGCACGTCTCTCTCCCCTTTCTCTCACATATTATGGTTACTGTCTGGGAAAGGGAAATTACACTGTGAAACTCCACTTTGCAGAGATCATTTTTACAAATGGCCAAAATTATAGCAGCCTTGGAAGACGGATATTCGATGTATATATTCAGGTATTGTTAAATAACTACAAGAAAAAGATACAAGTCTGATATCTTAAGTCAAGTCTAACTGCTATCAATTTAATGCAGGAAAAGTTGGTGTTGAAAGATTTTAATATAGCAAAAGAAGCAGGTGGAAATGACAAGGCAATCATTAAGAACTTTAGTGCAGTTGATGTATCAAGTGGCACTTTAGCAATCCGCTTCCATTGGGCTGGGAAAGGAACAACAGGAATCCCTACTAGAGGAGTTTATGGTCCTCTAATATCAGCCATCTCTGTGGATCCGGGTAAATACAGTTTTTTTTTTCACATAGCTTCTCTTATTATCCTAATTCATTTTGACTAAGATGATCAAATGTCTGACTGAACTGACATGATTAGAACAGATTATATGCAATCATCAAATCAGTGAACGAATTTTGTTTTGCATCTGTAGTCGCCAGGAAAAGAACAGCTCAAAATAAATTCATAAGAGTTGTCATAAAGAAGAAGTAACTTATTGAGAATATAAAGGAAAATTATGTTTGTCTATGGTTGTTTACTTTAATGTTGGGATAGTTGTTTTAAGTCAGCCAAGTTATGTAACTCTTTGAAATTGGCTACTCATATCACTGTCCAATAATCACCTTATCCAATAAGCATGAATATCTGAATTTTTTGATAATGATTCTTCTTGCAGAGTTCCCAATTCCTCAAGAAGGTGGAAAGACACTATCAGCGGGTGCTGTGGCTGGAATTGTTGTCTCAATAGTAGGCGTCATCTTCTTGGTTCTGGGTATACTTTGGTGGAAAGGCTGTCTGGGTCACAAAAATACAATGGACCAAGGTGCGGACAAACCAATTATCCTACAGAAAACAGAAGTCAAGAACAAAAGCAGTTATTTCATGAAAATTAATATAAAAAAAAAGGAAGAAGTGGATGTTCTTGTTTTATTAACTATATTAACAGTGGACGAAAACTGCTGCAGGAGCTAATAAAGTGCTTCTATTTTTACGGAAACTTTGGTTATCCTGTTCCTTTTTATTTTTGGGTGCTTTTCCAGTAATATAGTGTATTATTCTGTACAAATTGTAACAAGATTTTTAATTAAGGGAAAATATGACCCTAACGGTCCTTATTTCCCATGGCTTCTCATGTTCCTATATTGAGTTGGACCTTATAATTATTTCAGTTTGTGAAAACTGAATGTGCAGTGTAAATTAATAGTTACAAAACAACTTACGAGTTATGACTTTCTCTGACGCATTTCTCATGTTATTCGTCTCCTTGGACAGATCTTAGAGGTCTAGACCTACAAACTGGTTCCTTTACATTAAGACAAATTAAAGCTGCCACAAACGACTTTGATCCTGCAAATAAGATAGGGGAAGGTGGCTTTGGCCCTGTTTACAAGGTATTCTCCATGCTAACCTCTTTTCTTGGTTTGTTACTTTTGTCATCAAGTATAAATGTTATATAGAGGCACTTTATTATTTTATTAATTTATTATTCAAACACAGGGTGTGCTATCAGATGGTACTGTGATAGCAGTCAAACAGCTTTCTTCCAAATCAAAACAAGGAAATCGTGAATTTGTAAACGAGATAGGCATGATATCTGCTCTGCAACATCCCCATCTTGTAAAGCTATATGGATGTTGTATTGAAGGAAATCAGTTGTTGCTGGTATATGAGTTCATGGAAAATAACAGCCTTGCTCGTGCTTTGTTTGGTAAGATTAGCTTATTTTCTTCATTGCATACAAGAATACTTCTTGAAAGACAGCTAAAATTCCAATTTATTTTCACTTGATGATATAAAGGTCCAGAAGAGTCCCAGTTGAAATTGGATTGGCCAACCAGGCAAAAGATTTGTGTTGGGATAGCAAGAGGCTTAGCTTATCTCCATGAAGAATCAAGGTTGAAGATCGTTCACCGAGATATCAAGGCTACCAACGTACTTCTTGATAAGGATCTTAACCCAAAGATATCTGACTTTGGCTTGGCCAAGCTTGACGAAGAGGAGAACACTCACATAAGCACACGAGTAGCTGGAACTTTGTGAGTTACCATACTCCACATTTTTTAAAACTTGTAGTAATGATTTTTTATTCTATAATAAAGAGAAGAAACACTATCTTGGTTACCTTTTATAATTCCGAAAATTTGATCCACTAGGTGTGATTCCTTTGGCAGTATTCTGGTGTTTCCAAGAGCCCTCTTGTTTTCTTTTGATTTCCAGAACACTAGAGACATTGCAAAGGAACACACCTGTAGGTTTTCAAGACTGCTATTCGGTTTTGATCACTAAGAGATTTCAGGTTCGATGAGAAGAGAAAGTGAAGAAGATGTAGAAGAAAGAGTGATGGAAGAGCAATAGAACACAGATTTTCAGGAGAACAGAATGTCAATATTCTGCCGCCGCCACTTTAAGTTAATATATATAGGTTATGCTAGTTACATGAAAKGACATATCTGCCCTTGGTGTCTACATCATAACTGCCAACAAATAACAACCAATATAAAACTGAAACTAGAAATAACAGAACAGCAGCAAAATAACCACARCTGTGACTAGATATATTCTACCCTACGGACAGAGTGGGACCACAGCTGTGGGGTCCACATCAATGTTCTCTACAATACCAAATGTCCCCTTGACCTCCCAAAATCTAAACTGTAATGTTTAACTAAAAGCAGCATGACCCATTCACTGGTTGAACTTAATAATATTATACCTTAGGGAAATATCTGTACTCTTACAAGATCCATAGCTTTTGAAAGGTGCAGTATCATATATGAAATTTGATATGATAATATTCAATTTTCAGTGGATATATGGCACCGGAGTATGCAATGAGAGGTTACCTAACCGACAAAGCAGATGTTTACAGTTTTGGAATTGTTGCCTTGGAAATTGTCAGTGGAAAAAGCAACACTAGTTTCAGGCCAAAGGGGGAATCTGTTTATCTACTTGACTGGGTATGTTGGATCTCTTGTTATATCACATCCTTATTATTTGTTATTTTCATGATGGTTGATTAAAATTTTTTGTATAACTTGAGTTTAAAACAAGCCTGTCTTCTCACCCTTTTCCTATTTTATCAGGCCCTAATTTTGAAAGAGAAGGGGAAATTGATGGATTTAGTGGATATAAGGTTGGGGTCGGAGTTTGACAAAGAAGAGGTGATGAGAATGATTAATGTGGCTCTACTATGCACTAACACATCTTCAACACTTAGGCCTGCCATGTCCGCAGTGGTAAGCATGCTTGAAGGCCAGGCTGCCATCCAGGAATTTGTTCCAGACTCAAGCATCACTGATGATGAGGTAAGGTATAAGGCCATCCAGGATCATTTTTGGCAGAAACAAGATCAAACCGTGAGTGAAAGCCAGACACAAAGCATGTCAGTAGATGGACCATGGACTTCATCTTCTACATCTGCTCCTGATCTATATCCAATCAATCTGGATTCCCAATATTGGAACAACAGAGAGTAGAGCTTAATCTTCCACGTTTTGAATGTTCAGAGGTTTGGGTTTTCATCAGTAAAAGTAAATGTATAAAAAGTTCTTGCAATTTGTATAAAATTTGTTAAGCATGTGAGTATTTTTTCCACCAACATGTTTTACTTGAATGAACAAATAATGGAACTCTTGTGATTTGGAGTATTTGGATTGATACTTATCACTAAACCCACAAATTCCAAAGTTGCAGTTCTTTTTGTATGGTTGTTGGACAATGCAGTTTTAATCCCCTTCAACCAAATTACATACAGAGTAACACAAACACAAATAAATAGATAATAGATAAATACATAAAGGAGACCCGAATCAAAGTTAACTAGGCACTCCCAACCTGTATCTCCTCCGACCTCAAGCAATACCGAGCTGAAAAGTCTTGGGGTGCTGATCTGTGCTGATCTCATTTTTGACAAGTGAGGCACATGAGCACATAAAGGGGAAAAGGTTCCCTTGATTTTTGATAATTAGTATGCTGGGATATTTTTGTCATAGAAAAAGCTTTTGATTAATAATTGAGCGTCCGCCCCTTTATTGAGAGGGGGGATCACAATCTTTTCTTTTGTTTCTTAAAGCTTATATGCTAAATCTTAGTTTTCCACTATAAAAAGTGAAACAAAATAGTGGAGTTTTGGACAGAGTTTTAAATGATGTTGAAATTTTGTGAAGCTTCATTTTCATTGTAGTCCACTGACACATAAAATTATTTCATCAATCATGTTTATTTTGTCCTCTAGTTTATCTCACTTTTAGAGGCATTAAATACAGAGTGTCAGAATTTTCCAAAATGAAATAGGAAAACTCTGTAATTTCTCACCCAGAAATCATGAATATTTGGGTGTGAAATTTCAATTTTCTTTTGAATTGACTTTGGTTTCACAGTATAAGTACAATATATTTACTGAATATTCTAATTTCTCATGATACATCACGATACATTATGAGAAACTGGTTTATGTCAAATAAATAATAAAGGTCCAGAGGGATGCCAATTAAAATTGGATTGGCCAACTAGGAACAAGATATGTGTTGGTACTTGGTATAGCAAGTGGGCTGGCTTATCTCCATGAAGTATCTTGATTGAAGATTATTCATAGGGACATCAAGGCTACAAATATATTGCTTGGCAAGGATCTTAACCCTAAAATCTCTGGTTTTGGATTGGCAAAGCTTGATTAAGAGAATACTCACATAAGCACTCGAATTGCTCGAACTTTATAAGTTGAAAAGACCCCAAATTCTATCTAATAAGTATAATTGGTATCTGTTGGTTCTAATTTTTATTTATAGGTGAAAAGGGAGTTGTGGGTTATCCTTTGGTAACAATAACCAAAGCAACATTTATTGTTAGATCTGTAATCAGTAGCTTTGAATTCATGCATTTAAGTCTCACATGTCAGAATCTTGAAGGCTGAATTGCTGTGTTCAGGAATCTGTTACAGATCCAAGTATATCTGGTGATGATTTGAAGTCTAAAGCTATGAGGGATCATTACCGAAAGATCTTAGATGAAAGCAGCAGGGAGAGACAGACCAACTGTAAATTGATTGATGGTCCATGGATTAGGTCTTCTACATCTTCCCATGAATTACACCCTATCAATCCATATTACAAATCTTTGAATTACAGAGAGTAGCTTTTGCAACATTTTGATGGATCATCCATGTACATTATGCTAATATGTGTATCATGTCCATTCAGTCCCCTTGTTTCTATAATATAATGTGGAGAGGCCAGGGACTAAAGTAAGAAAGATGAGTGTCTTGAAGTTTTAGCAGGTTTTGCAAATATCTGCTCAACCAGCGTGTATTAATTAATTGATTGAGTTCTACTATGATGTAGAAAGCCAAAATGGACTCAATCATCTTTAAGAATTGTGGGTCAAAGTTATATTGTAACCTGCAATAACAGGTGACGGGTCACAAGTAGGTTGACCGTATGTTTTGGCTTTATCATACCACTCCAGATATCCTATCCACAAACTCTTCGAGTCTGGATCTCCTGCCCACAAGAACTCTGCCCATGCCTACCCACAATACACTACCCCCTGTGAATTGGGAACATCTCCCCTGCATAATACTGTGTAGAGGATGAGATGTTCTCCATATGTGGCTGCGATAAACGTGGGCAGAGTTCTTGTGGGCTGGAGATCCAGACTCAAACTCTTCCCACATCCCCTACCCACAAGAACTACCACCGTGTATTGGGAACATCTCCCCATGAATATCATGTCTCTGGTATTAGAAAATCATGATACATTATCAATCTTAGTGATCAAAACTACCAATTCAATGGCTTTTGGTTATATAGGCTAGGTTTGGAAAGAGTACAAATACAAATAAGTGCAGTGCACATACGTACAAAATGATACAAAATACAAAGTGTTTTCTTTTCTTTTTTTGGTATTCATAACCTCCCCTGACCCCCTGTTCACTTTGTTGCGGGATTCGATTCCATGTCAACACTGGAACAAACCAGCTAACACACCAACAAGCCAACCCTTGGTAAAATACAAGGTGTTGTACTCTATTTTTTTATACTAGTGGGGCCCATGTGGTGCACAAGATGAGGCACCCCTCCTTGTCCCTCGCCCTCATAAGTCAAAACACTCTACTCCATCTCTGCCCCAACCTCAATGATAGGACAGGTTCGGAGCGAGGCACCCACCCCGTCGGGGATGGGGAATTCCCAAATTTTCCCCACCTTGAGGCAACCACCTAAAAAAATCTCATTTATGGATATTTTACAAATAGGATTATGTGAATTTGGGGGTATTTTAGGAATTGGATTATGACAATTTGGGGGTATTTTATAAATGAAACTATGGGATCCTACGATTATAAGAATATGAGGAAAAATTAGAGATATTTTAAAAATCAATACTAAATATATGAATATTTTACTAATTTACCATTAGGTTTAGGGAATTATATGCAAACCCCATCCCTAATTTGGGGCAAAAATATTTTCCTTGTCCCCATCCCCGTTTAAGATTTGAGAAAACTTGTCTTGTTCGGGGTGGGGCAGGGTAGGGCTCTAGTTTTACAGGGATAATTTCCATCCTTATAATTCTAATAATTTTCTATAACTAATTAACTAACAATAAATTAAATAACAATAAATTACAATATTTTAAGATAATTTCCATTTATTTAATAATTATTTATTGAAATTAAATAATTATGAAACAATTTCTAATAGATTAATTTCCTAATTTAATTTTCTTAATTGTTTTAATTATTATTTAGTTGAATAATAATAATAATAATGGATTATTATTTAAATATTTTTAGAATATTTTTTCATAGATTAATTTCTTACCTTTTTAATTACTTATTTAAAAAAATAAGTGTGGATTATTATTAAAGAGTTTCCCTAAATTATTTAATAATTGTTAACTATAATTATTGATTTTATAGAAATTGGTAAATTACACTAATTAGTAATATCTTCTATCAATAAATTATTACTGTAAAAAATTAATGAAAATTTATTAAATTACGATGATTAATGTAAACTACGCTAAATGCGCGTTGAAACTTTGAACATTTATTAATAACAAAAAATTATTAAATAATGGATTCTTTTCTTAATTTTTGGTAGATTATTAAATTATTTAATATTTGTTAAATAATGGATTATTTCTGAAATAATTATTTCATAATTTTTGGTAGAATATTTTCCATAAATTTTGTATAATTTTCATAACTAATGGATTATTTAACAATAGATTATTATTTAAGAATACATTATTTAACAATAATGGAAGATGCCATGATTATATAGGAAACATTGAATTCCCCTTATTCCCCTCTCTTTAATTTGCTTGAAATCATGTCTATAAATATAAATATAAATATTATTTGATTTGGAAAACCAAATCTTAATAAATTATGACCCTATTTTTATGGGAAAGTGGAGAGAGTAGAGGGGAATTAGAGATAAAAGTGAAGGAGAGGATAAAACATATAATGAGCTAATTAAGGAGAGAAGTTAGGTTGTTATAGAAAGTGAGAGAAATGAGTTGTGGGGGGAGAGAGAAAACTCTAAAGATATTACTTTCAAATATCCAATTTTGAAATCATATTCACTATCATGATAATTGTGCTTTTCCTTGCTATGAGATGCAGCCTCTTGGATTTAGAAATCCATTTATCTAGCGATTGCTCTGAGAGCTTGTGGCAGATGTCAATGGAATTCCAGAACTAAGTTTGTTTTCCCCCATTTTCTGCAATGGATCTACTGCACTAGTGTGTGAAACAAGATCACCAAATTCATGTACATACCCTGACCTACATTAGAACAGTGAGGATCAACAACACTTGATGAGTCAAATTCATCTTCCCATGCATTCTGCACTTGGAATTTAGATTGGTGATCAAGTGCTTCCTGAAAAAAAGGGATAAACCAAGAAAGAAGATGTATTTGTGAAGGGAACAGACAGGCAGGCAAGATGAAGCTTGATTTGAAAAACTCCCAAAATGGCATTGTGAAGAGAACACTTCTTGTACAAACCAAGAATTTATCAAATTGAAATTAAGATGTATTTGTGATTCAAATATTTTGAATGGAGAATGGTTTTTTAATTTTTATTTGTAATTGATATTTTTTATTTTTGTATTTCATTCCAATTTAAATGAATATAGAGAAAACAAGTTATTTGAAGCAAATTAGAAAAAAATAAAAAATAGGTTATATGAAAAAAGTATGGCTTTAGCGGTAGTCGCAAATGCCGCTAAAGATGTAGTTGACTGCCGCTAAAAAATAACATGACAGACTTATAGCGGCAATCGTGACTGTCGCTAAAAAATTTTGTATTTGTAACGACAGTCAGTAAAACTACCGCTAGAACTAGATTCTAGCAACAATTGTTTTAGCAGTTGTTTATCGACTGCCTATAAGGTCTCTTGCGGTAGTTTTAGAGACCTTTAGCGACAGTTTGTTGACTGCCGCTAAAAGTCATTTTTCTTGTAGTGAGAGAGGGTGCTGAGATGACAAATTAGGAGTGGTGGGATGGGGGAGAGAGAGAGAGAGAGAGTTAAGGAGAATGCAGGGTTAGGGTAATGGAGTAAGGAGAATCAAGGTGACGTGGACCATCTTATCATATATATAGATATATTTATACTCCTAAACTGAGCCATAAAGTATAAATACAAATAAGTGTAGTGCAAATACATACAAA